ATGATTTATTTACTTGTATAAGTGTGAAACGTTTGAACGCCTTGCATAATCAATCATCTCATAACTTGATTTATTTACTTGTATGATGACTGTGAAATGTTAGAATGCTTGCGTGATCTTTCAGGAGTTATCAATTAAACAATTCTTTAGCCAAACATTAGAACGCCTTGCATAATCATCTTGAAACATGATTATTTACCAATTACAATCAGATTATCAATAGTGTGAAAGAAATGATTTATTTACTTGTATAAGTGTGAAATGCCTTGCATAATCAATCATCTTATGACTTGATTTATTTACTTGTAAGATGACTGTGAAATGTTAGAACGCTTGCGTGAACTTTCAGGAGTTAACAATTAAACAATTCTTTAGCCAAACATAGAACGCCTTGCATAATCATCTTGAAAAGACCAATTACAATCATTTTGATTATCAATATAAGTGTGAAACGTTTGAACGCCTTGCATAACCTTGCATAATCAATCATCTCATGACTTGATTTTTTATTTGTAAGATGACTGTGAAACGTTAGAACGCTTGCGTGATCTTTCAGGAGTTATCAATTAAACAAGTTTTTAAAGTAATTGTATGTGAAACATTAGAACTTGCATAATTATCTTGAAAAGACATGATTATTTACCAATTACAATCATTTTGATTATCAATAGTGTGAACGAAATGTGATTTATTCACTTGTAAAAGTGTGAAACATTAGAACTTGATTTAATTACTTGTATGATGATAACATGATTATTTACCAATTATTATCATTTTGAATAAGCATCTTGGAAACAAGATTATTTATTTGTATAGCTGTGAAATGTTAGAACGCATTGCGTAATCCCTCAGGAGTTATCAATTAAACAAGTCTTAAGCCAATTAAGTAATTTTATGTGAAACATTAGAACGCCTTGTAATTCAATGTAGTGAGACAATAGAACAGGTATTAACCACACAAGATTATGATTGCTTAATAAAATTTCATAATAATCCTATCTTACCGATGGAGTTCATTACCTTTTCAGGAGATATCAATTAAACAGCTTAAGCCAATTATTTATTTACAAAAATTTTTCACTACTTGATTGTTTATGGGCCAGGAATTCAATAAACCACTTTAATGAATAAAAGCAATTGGTCAATTAAATAAATGATGATTTATTTATAGTAATTATTATGCAGTTTCATAAACGGTTTCATAAGAATTCAACAAGTAATTTTTTAACAAAATAAAAAAGCCCAAGATCAATAATTGTATAAATATTAACCATTTGGATAATATAAAACTTACTACATAATTTTGGCATAAAATAAAACATAAAAAAGTCCAAGATCAATAATTGTATAAAAATTAAACATTTCAATAATATAAAACTTAATACATTATTCAATTTTGCATAAAATAAAACATAAAAAAGTAAGATCAATAATTGTATAAAAATTAACCATTTCGATAATATAAAACTTACTATAATCAGGTGAGGTCTATATGACCGAACTGATATTTGAACCATTGTTAAATAAAATGTGCCAGACCCCCAAGTGGTCACCTTTTTAACATTAAAAAAAAAAAAAAAAAAAAAAAAAATTACTAATTTTTTATATAGTAAACTAATTTACATAATTCAATTTTGCATAAAAAAAAACATATAAATTTAAAATCATTAATTGCATAAAAAATTAATCATCTATTTCATATTTTCCCAATAAACAATTAGTTAATTCCTTAATATCTTGAGAATTAGCTTCCTGAAAATAATTAACTGTAATGTTTGAACCTTTCAATAGTTCGAGTATATTTTGCCGGGGAACTTTTTTTTCATCAAATTCTTAAAATTAAATAATAAAATAATTAATCTAAAAAAGTTCGATTTTCAGAATAAAATTCTTAATAAATTCTAATATACCTTTGATTATCGAAATCAAATTGTCATATGATTTTCTCCAAAACGTTGTTTTAGAGTAAACATTTGAATAGTTTTTGTCTTCTGGAATGGTTTCTCTGATAAATTTGTTTATATCTTTGGAAGTGAAATTCTTTCCTTTGACTAAATCATACAATGATTCACATAAATAATATCTGCTATTAACTTCAGTCCAGTTCAAATCAATTTTATCTTGTGTGATCTTATTGTCTAATCGAAGATTGTAATTCTCTAATTATTCGTCCAATCTTCTAAATTATCAGTCGATTTTGGTATAGTTGGATCATAAGACGGTGTGACTTGATTAATGATTCGATTAATACGACTAATATATTTGCTGGTAGAAGTTGGTTGCCTTTTGTTCGTTGTCATTTTTTATTACAAACGTAGTATGTATCACAACTTTGACAAGTAATAAATGTGACAAAGGAATGTTTTGATACGATAAAATTAGTTAAACTGAAAGTAACAAACTGAATGATATTGGTAGATCTTCAAATATTTATTTATATATATAATGATTATGTTGTGGAACTTATTCTGCATTATGATAGATTTATTACCAAAAAAAAAATTTGTTGATAAAAAGAATAAATTTGGTTAGTTAACTATTTAACGCTAACGTAGTCTAATTGTTTAAAGAGTTTCTATTCGTTGTAACATGTCCTCTAGTTAATTTAGAATTATTTGTTTGATTTAATTTTTTATAATTAGCAATTATTTAGGTTTAGTCACAAGAATGAATTTTGGGGCCAGAATACGAATTTGGGAAAGGTAAGACAAAAAAAAATTTAGAAAAATTATTGACTTTTATTACAACAGAGAGAACTAGAAAAAAAATTCTAAATTTACGTAGTTTTGATCAGAAAAAATTAATATGAATAATGGAAAAATCAGAACAAAATGTAAAAATTTTTATAATCAAGTTAATCTATTTATTTTTAATATGGCACAAAACCAGGATGTTCGAACCTACGATGTCCAGCAAAAATTCCAGAAAAAATATCTTTTATTTGTTGTGATATTATATTCCAATTAGATTGGTCGATACCAAAAGTTCTATGCACAATTGGCTCATAAGGATCGGTATATAAATATGAATGCTTCGAACTATAAAAAATTCGATAAGATTATTGTAATCTCAACAAATAATATAACAATAAGAATCTTTCTTGCTGTCTTATAAGAAATCATTTTCAATACAAAATTACCATACCTTTACAATTGAGTAACAGATCAGCATTATATTATAAAATCTATAATTATACAGAACTCAGAGTTTCATTTTATTTTGTAAAATAGGTAATAAGAATATCCACAGCAAAGATGGAGAAGATAGCATAAATTAAATTAATTATCTCTTATTTGAAAAGTACATTCACAAAAAATGAAACATTAAACAAATCCTTTTGCAATAGTATGCTACAACTTTCTTGGAATTCTATTGCATAGAATTTATAGTTTTTTACATATTTGTATGCTGAAAATTTTAAATTAAAAAATACTCGCGTTTCATTTTAATGCTTTGTAAAATAGGTAATACGAATAACCACGGCTGGCAAAGATAGCAGCATAAAAATTAAATTGTTTTAATTATTTCTGTTACGCCACAACTTTCTTAGAATCTTATTAATTATTGCGTATTTATATTTTTTCTCATATGAGTGCTTCTATTTGACTTTAGTATGGCACAGACTGGATGCCCAAATCCATGACTTCCATAATCACAGCAAAGCAAAAAAATCTTTCATATTTAGTATATTAGCATATCCCAAGGTTCGAATTGGTCGATATTGTAAATTCCATGTACAATTGGCTCGTAAGGCTCAGAATATGAATGTTTTTTACTCTAGATAATAATCGATAAAGATCAGTTCGAGCTTCTACTTATCAATTTGGAAAACGAAAAATATACTTAACCGCCAAAGCAACAATATGACAAAAGCCTCAATAATCAATACTAAAAGCAGAATGTTGTTGCAATGAGGAGGAATTTTTTCACATCTTTAACATGCGATAAAATTTTTAAAGGAATTTCTTATGAACTTATATTTGTGTAATGGATCAGCATTTATATTACACGTATATTAATCGTAACTTTATCGTTATCATCATACAGAACTCAGAGTTTCATTTTGATATTTGTAAAATAGGAAACACAAATGACAACGGCAAAGATAGCACAAATTAAATTAAATTATCCCTGATTTGAACAAGTACATTTACGAAAAAAAATAACTAAATCGAACAAAGCCTTTTGCAATAGTGCGCGAAGAATTGGAATCTTAAACTTTGTTTATATCATTAAATACTTAGCAAAATATAAATTTCTGTTTACCTACACCTTTCTTGGAACTTGTGTAGTGTTTATTTTTTTCTCATATTTTTATGCTAAAAAATTCTTTAATTAAAATTTTACGTAGCAGATCTGCTTTATATATTATACTGTAATATTATTAATCGTTATTATAAAATGCTGTAAATTATACATAACTCGGAGTTTAGTTTTAATGTTTTGTAAAATAGGTAATACGAATAACCGCGGCGAAGATAAAACAAAAATGAATTAAATATCTCCTTATTTGAACAAGTTCATTTACGACAAAATGTATTAAAAGGAGCATGAAAACATTCAGCTCCTAATCAATTTTAATCAAAATGAAATCAGAATATTTATTTATTTAACTCTAAATCTTTTACGAAGAATTGCTAAAGGGATTCTTTACTCTTTTGTTTCGCTCATATTGATTCTTTTATCAACCATTGCAATATTCATTGCAATATTTATTTTAGTATTTATTCCAAATTTATTTATTCTTTCCATTATAAACGTTGCTATCGCATTATTATTTCAAAAAATTATCAATAGCGATAACAACGTCAATAAATTTAAGCTTGCAATTTCTAATAACAGGCTTTCAGTTTCTTTTTTGCTTAATATCTCCAAAAATTTTTTTGATTTAACTGGAAACTGAATTTTTACTGATTCGAAATTTATGTTTTGTTCTCACTTAGAGCTATTTACATATTTATTTAAGTTCAATTTTAATCCTTATAAAAAAATTCATAAAGATGGCCTGTATACTTGTCATCATTTTCCAAGTCCCATTTTGACAAGAATAATAGATTCGTTAAATTATTTTAGTCATCTATTTTACAAAGTCGCATTGGACAAAAGTTCACTGCAGATCAAATTTTTTGAAGATAACATTAAAAGTAGAGCAAAAATATACTCTATTCAATCATATTATCAATTTTATAAAGCTATTTTGCCAACCCCAAATGAGAATCTTATAAATTTGCGACATAATGATGACTCTTCTTCAGTTATAGAAGATACAGATATAGATCAATCCTTGCGAACAACAAAAACGAATGATTTATCTGGTTTATTATTTAATAACAACACTTCTAGAATGAATGAAATCTATTGGTTGCCACAATTCCAAAAGCTTGACTTTGTTAACAAAAACCAAGTACAAAGTTCAGAATATCAAACTGTTTCCGAAACTATCAACACCAAAAATTCAGATGCAGTTGTCGAATTGAATGATTATATATTCTATAAAGAAGTAAAATACACCATTGATGAATTTCTCGAAAATATGCAAAAAGAAATAAAATTCCTAAAGAAAAATAATCGCGAGTTAGACGATTATTTGTCTCATGAACACGAAACTATAGATGAAGGTATTCGTGCTATACGACGAGGTATAGAAGATATAAAATATGGAAGGGACTATAATATTAATGGTAGTGTCCGTTGGGTTCATGCAGATGCTTCTCATCAAAATCTTTGTCAAAATTCATTTAGTTTTCAAATTAGAGCCGAATATAATAACTTAGTAAAAAGTTGACAGAAATTATGAATCGTTTAATTAATTTAATTAATTAAGAAATTACTTTTTTTAACTTGGTATGAATTTAATTAGCTAAATGTTTCTATATGCTTTTTCTTTGAATATTAAGAAATAGCTCCCACATCTTTTATTTCACCCAAATTTAAATACTGTATTTTTTTGTGAAATCAAATTTGCTAAGTAATTGGCTTTATGTTATACAACTTTGTTTAGCTTGAGGGACATGCACTTATCTTCTATCATCTGCCCTTTCGTCAAGGAGCAACTGAATATTTGTGATCTAATGGAAAATCAATCAAGCTATCGTTTATTCCAGTACAGAGATTTATGGCTAAAAACACAATTGATAAGTAGCTTTTTAAAGTTTTTACTTGTTTAATAATATAATAAGTAGTAACATCCTTTTCTTTAGGAATGTTGTTTGCATGGGATTTTGCTATGAATGACTTGCAAAATGGGTCATTTTTAAAGCAAAAGCCTGAATATTTACGGCTCAAGACTGGTTTAATAACGAAGCTCCAATTGATTTTCCAGTTAATCACTGGAATCCTTTGGTTTGAGATGAAGAAACGATGGCATTTGATAAGTTCATGAGAATTTTTCATTAGTCAGAATTTCCAGTAAAAATTTCCATAGCAATTCTCTCTCGGGCTTTTCAATATTGAACACTAGTTTTTAAGCCATTTATTTAGTTAATTTTATTTATTTATTCGAATCAAATCACCCTTTTTAATATTAAACCTTTTATTTGCGAAAAAAATTTTTACATTCACTGTTATAAAAACTTTTCTACCAAAAAAATTAGTCTTTTTAAATTAAAACTATAAAGAATACAATTTTTGAA